GAAGGAAGGAAGGAAGGAAGGAAGGAACTTTCTAGGGAATAATGGAAAGAACACAAAACAAAAATACAAATGAAATGCCTGTTTTATTATTTACATTATATTATGTCATCAGATATATTAGTTCAATTAACTGTAGAATAATTTGTTCGATTAATATAGAATGAGACACAGCATTTAATATACAACCTGAATTTCATTTTAAAGGCACATAAATTGATCATGGAAACTGACAAAGAACAAAATTATCTCAGTTATGAGGCTTGTTTTTACTGTAATTCAAGATGTTCATGATGTTGTTTGATGCACATGAGTGAGATCATCTGACTGTGCCTGCCTGTGGTTTTCCCCACCCAGCACCCATGGTATATAAAAGGCAGGTGGCAGACATTGACATCCAGACTCAAGACACCTTCATCCTGATCCTGAACTGAACACTCTACTCCTGACAGCATGAGCTGCTACTATGGCAACTACTATGGTGGGCTGGGCTATGGCTATGGTGGCCTAGGCTGTGGCTATGGCTGTGGCTATGGTGGCTGTGGCTGTGGCTATGGTGGCTATGGCTGTGGCTATGGTGGCTATGGTGGCTATGGTTATGGATGCTGCCGCCCACTCTGCTACAGAAGATGCTGGTCCTATGGCTTCTACTGAGAAATATCCTTAGCTGTTGAGCTTACTGGCTCTAACCTCCTGACTCTCTGGAAACATCTCCAACTTTCTTCAAATGAAAATGTTTGAATGTCTTCAACAACATCAACTATATACTCAACTATCTAAGAAAAGCAAATGAAATCAGCATGCCTGTGTTGGTTCATTATTACCTCTTGGATTGTGATAGTTTGGAGAAAATATTTTCCTTTGATAATTATCCTTAAAACACTATGTAAAATCTGATTGAATTTGATTCACAACTACTGTATAAAAAGGTACATATACTAAATAAATTGTTATTCACTGAAATCATGGCTTTGCTACATTTCTTCTAAATTGTCTCCATCAATATAGCAGGTATAATTGTGTATTTGCATGTGATTAGTCATGTGTGTGTTTTTGTTTACCCAAGTTGGGGAGAGAGAGTGTGTGTGCCCATGGAAGACAAAGCAAGCAGATCAGAGGTTTTCTATGGCCAACAGGGTCTTAAAATTAATAGGGTAAAATCATAAATTCTTTCTCATATCATACAAAATCTGTTTTTCTATGTTTTTTTCATCTTTTATATACTCACTTTTTGCTTATATGTTTTTAAAATAGGTATTTTCTACAAATAAGTTAGTATTTTATCAGATTATTTAAAATTCTCTATATTTGTATGCTTTGTATTGTTTACATTCTGAGGAGTCAGATGATATCAGCTGCAGATCTGCTTCTTTGAAATGTTTTTCAAATTAAAAGAAATGTGTGTGTGTGTGCATGTGCATGTGCGTAAACAGAGCTGGATACATGCAGATGTATATCTCCTGCCTGAACAATGACTGCAGGCTTCATCATATTGAAAATGTCAGCACTAATGATTATCTTCTAGATTACCATCATAGCAATCAAATAGCATTTCAACGAATATCAATTTATTCATCTCATTAGAGAAATATGTATATTATGCATAGCAAGAAGAAATTTATCAAGAGTAGGAGATACTTTTTTATGTTGTATAACATTTGGGTGCTTTCTTTTTTACCCATAAGTCTCATCTTTATCAAATATATATGCCTACAAGTGATAATTTTCTCAAAAATCAAATTGTTGCCACCCTTAAAGTCATTATGTTTTACTTGGGAAACAAACTGACAGCATTCAATGCAATGAAATGTTGATAGAGAAGTAAGGAATAAGGAAATTGATTTCTTAAGATGGCAAAAATGTTGAAACGAAGGGTGAAATTTTACAGTCCTCAAGTGTAGGAGCCAGGAGAGAGGCTGGTATGACACAGAGCACCCAGCAGAATTCTAAGTCCATTTTTAATTTTTCTTGATTGGAAAAACATAGGTGGAGACATAAAAGACACAATCCTTGTAAGGATGTGTGCACAGATGACTGAGTTTAATAGAGCCAGGTTTCTATTTTTGAGCTATTTTAGAAATTTAGGAGTTAAAGAATCAATTTCTTGAGACACAAAGTAGAACCATTTGACTGGGATACTGAAAATTATGTTCACATCAAGTTAATAAGAAAATGATCATTTAAATTAAGAGGAGCCATCTGTAATAGTTAATACAAAAACTTATCTCCTATAGGCTATACCAAAATAGGTAAATGGACCTTAACCAAAATTCAAAGAGCCTAATATCATGATAATCCTTATCTGAATTTGGGCAATGTGATCTTTTCTAATAGACCAAAGGAAACAAAATGGCAACACAGCTCTCTATGGTGAAATATACTATTGTTCTGGGTCCTCTAAAATTTTAATAGAAAATGTTGAGCTTATGAAATCCTATAGGAATATGTAAAGGAAACAACAGAAAACAAAAGCTAATCCAAACATCAGTCACATATTTAAGTTTGTGTAAAATTTAGAGAAATGTATCAAAGAATCTAACTCAAGGTCTAGTTATTTTCTAAAAGTGCAAATGAATAATGTGGTAAAAATTTAAGAATTAGCTTCAGAAAAACAATGTGATATGCATAATACTCAATATATCATGCCTGCTCAAGAAACATTATTTTTTTGTTCCATTTCAAAGGAAAGAAAATTTGTTTTATTTTTTTTTCTTTTGTAACACTAGGATTCTCTCCAATGACCTTTTGCCACTTCTAAAATGACATGATATGGACAACAAAACTTGCAATTTGAAGAAATACAGGGATAATAATAAATTTCACACAATACAATGTTTTAAATATGGTTGACACATGTTTATAACAATAAATGCCAATTGGTAGCTGAAAGAGGCTAGTAGACCTAAGTGAATTTCTCTCAGAATTCTCCAATGATCTGAATGAGAAGCATGGTAAAACACAGGTTTTTGAAATGTCTATACCTTCAGTATTTAGTGACAACAAAGTCTAGAACTGTCAGGATTTGTGAGTCAGAGGACATTTGTGTTCAGTAACAGCAAATTCAGAGCAGAAGCTCCTTCCTCCTTACCAATCCCTCCCATGTCTACGTTTAGAATAATGAAACATAATTTAGATTTATCTCTCTGCTTGACTCTAATTCATTGAGCTGTTCTTTTATAAAAAGTCTAATTTACTTTGTGTAAATTACATTTAAAAAATGTCAGTAATATGTTAACAAAAAAAAATATTTTCATGACTATCTTTGTTCCCAGAATCACTCCATGTATGAGCCAAATATTGTGGAAACAAACAACTGGTTTCTGGACAGTTTGGTCGCTCTGAGTAGTTTGTATCATCCACACACTTTTAAGAGACATGTCATCCCTGAACCTGCAAGGCACTTGTAGGACAAAATGTGACACCTGTTAAGAAAGCTATGAGCCCAATATGGAGCACACAACCTTACCTTAGAGTGTTTGACATCTGCATCTACAATGATCATTTGGGATGATGAAGGGAACCATGGAGCAAATATCATTTCTGTTAATGATCATGTATTTTCTGGAAAGTCTGAAATATGGATAAGAATAATTTACTAAGAAGAAAAGAAGAAAAGGAAAGAAAACATTTTTTTTTCTATTGAAGAATGGAAACAACACACAACAAAAATAAAATGAATTTCCTGTTTTCATGATTTAGAGGATACTATATAATCAGATATATGTGTTCAATTAACTAAATATGGAATGGGATGCAGAATTCAAAATAGAACAAGAATCTCATTTTAAAGGCCAATAAATGGATCACAGAATCCTGATGTAGGAACAAAATTATCTCAGTTATGAGGCTTGGTTTTGCAATAATTCAAGATATTCATGACATTGTCTTGGTCACATTAGTGAGACAATATGACCAAGCATTGCTTGTGGTTTTCCCCACCCAGCACTGAGGAGGTATAAAAGGCAGGTGGCAGACAGTGACATCCAGACTCAAGACACCTACATCCTGATCCTGAACTGAACACTCCACTCCTGACAGCATGAGCTGCTACTATGGCAACTACTATGGTGGGCTGGGCTACGGCTATGGTGGCCTAGGCTGGGGCTATGGCTGTGGCTATGGTGGCTATGGCTATGGTGGCCTAGGCTGTGGTTATGGTGGCTGTGGTGGCTATGGTTATGGATGCTGCCGCCCACTCTGCTACAGTAGATACTATTCCTATGGCTTCTACTGAGGCATTTCCTCAGCTCCTGAGCCTATTGGCTTTAACCTCCTGTCTCCCTGGAATTACCTTCAACATTCTTCACAGGAGAAATGTTTGAATGTCTTCAACTCTATCAACTATGTTTCAAACTATTTGAGAAAATAAACAAAATCAATTACCTATTTTGATATATCATTATCTTTTGGACTGTGTGATTATTTGGAGAAAAGCATTCTCATGATAATTATCATTATCACACTATTTAAAATGTGATCAGGTTTGTCTGTGTATAAAAATACATAATATGAAATAAACTGTATTTCACTGGAAATGTTGATGTGGTACAGTTCTATTAAGTTATCTCTGTGGATGTGGCCTGTGTATTTGTGTATTTCCATGTGATTAGTCATGTGTATATGGTTGTTTATAGATATGGGGGAGAGAGACAATGTTCTTCTGTGGTAAATAAGGATCTAAAAATTAATGGGGCAAATATATTAAATTTTTCTAACATATTTTACAAAACAGTTCCTTATGCATGTCTTTTTATCTCTTCTACAATTACTCTTTGCTTAAAAGTTCTTAAAATGGCTATTTTTATGGTAATATTTTTATTTCACATGAGATAATTTAAAATTTTTTGTATTTTAATGCTTTATGTTGTTAGCATACACATCAATCAGATGGTATCAGCTCCAGCTCTTCCTCTGTGAAATGTTTATAAAATAAAACATAAGTGTTTGTGTGAGTGTGCATATACATATATGAGTATACCTATATACATTCTGCCAAGGAAATTACTGTAGGCTTTATCATATTAAAAATGTCTACACTAATAATGAGTTTCTGTATTACCATTATGGCAATAAAATTGCATTTCAAATTATATCAATTTATACTGCTATTTAGAAAGAATACACATATTATGTATAGCAACATGAATTTATCAAAACCCGGAGCTATTTCTGTTTATTAAATTAACATTGGGCAATTTTATTTTTTACCTGGAAGTCTAGTCTTTGCGAAATGTAGATGCCTGCTATGCTAAATCTCCAGAATCAAATTGTTTCCACTCCTAAAAAAAAAGTCATGTTTCACTTGGGAAACTGAAACTGACAGCTTTGGTGCGCTGATATGCTGATAAAAAGTAAGGAATAAAGGACCTATGGTCTGAAGACAGAGAGTGTGGTGAAGAGTGAAATTTGACATTCCTAGGAGTCAGGCAAGTGGTTGCTGTGACAACAGATAGCCCAAGAATATAATTTTTAATTTTTCAGGGCTGGCAAACCATAGTTGGAGCCGTAAGAGGACACATCTGGATGCGAATGTGCTGAACAACACTCAGCTTCACAGAGGTGCTTTAGAAACTCTGAAGTGGCCTGGCTCAGTTTTTTGACATCACACAGAACTTCTTGATAATTAGATAGAAATTTTGTCCTCATCTAGGTCATGAGGATATAGTCACTAAAACTCAAGCACTGCTCTAAAGAAGTGTCCTTAGTTGAAAGAAACAGAAGAGCATTCTCTATTGGCTCCACCAAAACAGGTGAACAGACCCTAGCCCAAATTCCTGCAGACTTTTATTATGTTAGTCTGTACTTGAATTTGGACCTTCAGAACCATTTAAAATCCCAAGATGAATAAAAACAACCCCAAAATTCCACAGTGAAATACAATATTGTTCTAAATATTTTGAGATTTGTATATAATATGTTGTTGAGCCTATGGACATTTGCAAAAGACAATATATAAAACATGATAAAATAGTAGAAATGTACCAAAGAATTGAATTCCAACTCTAGTTCTTATAAAGAGAAAATTAATAATGTAGTTCAGAATTTAATAAATTTAACAAGAAAAAAAATTGAATGATTAAACCTAAACACAGGCTTTCAAAAACACTTTGACTGATATACAAATTGGAATGAAAAATAGTGAAAAGATTATTAAGGGGTACCATACCTCATGACTGGTAAAACGTACATGAAACTGGAATTCCACGAGGGAGAAAAAAATGAGTGCATTTATGAATGGAAAATTGTCTATATTTTTTTCAAAACTGTTGAATAGCATCAAGTCACAAATTCTAAATGTTGTGCTGTGTCAAGCGTGAGAAATTCAATTAAAATTTCAAGTAGGCATAACTCAATAGCTGAAATCTTAATTTAACTAATTTTTAAAAAAGATTATCTATAAAGAGTAGGAATAAGGCTGCCATTAATGCCTCAACAGGAACAGAGGGAGCTGGATGGGAATGTGGTATTTTTTTAAGTGTGGATTATAAATGACTATCAATCTAGATTCTCATGTAATCAACATGTCCAGATAATGAAATAAAATAAGTAAATATATTAGTAGAATCTCATCTTCAAAATAAAGAAAATAGAAGTTCCTAGGCAAAGTAATTTTATTGTTTTTTAAATACACACAATAAAAAATATAGACTTACTTATGCAGAAGGAAAGTGATTCAGGCGAATATGGACATTCACAAAAATGTGAAGTTACTTAAAAAAATGTAAATATTTGTGCAGAAATACCAATGGTAGTTTCTTCAAATATTTCTATATGTAGAATAAAAGAAACATAATAAGTATGACGCAGATTACTAGAGTACAAAGAACAGATAGGTCTAAGACCCAGGATCAGTAGGAAAGAAGAGTGTCACTAACTCCAATCGATAGTGATGAGTGGACTCTGGCAAAGGAAGGGAGGTGGGTGTTTCCTGTAAAATTTTACTTACTACAGAAATAGTGGGAGTTTGTGCGTACCCCTCGGTTGGAATTTCACTCAACAGAAGTTATTCTTTCACCCCTCAGCTTTAGGATGGGAACATCTGTCCCATCCCCGTTGCAATAGGGTTACCCATATCACTTGTTTGGACCTTACCATGGACAGAGTGCATGTCCGTACCCCATGTCTTTGTACTCAGTGTGGTATTTGCACTGGTTTATTGGAGTGTTGGCAAACATGCTCAGAGTGGAGGTTTGGGCATATATATCTGGGATTTCTCTGACACACTCTTTCTTTCTGGAGAAAATGTTCCAGCAAGCTGCCAATCCAAGAAAAAGAAAAGTCACTTGGCAAAGGCTTGAAGCCAATCTACAGCCCAGATTATGTTGGCCAAATCCCAGCCAACCCTGAAGTACATGAGCAAGACATAAACGCTAATGCTATACGGCATGATTTGAGGGATCATTTTTATAATCAAATTATTTTAGCTGATACTTAAAAATTGTACATATTAATGGGATGGCATGATGTTTTGATACGTGCATAAACTGTAGGATATTTAAATACGATTAGACATATCAAACACACATGATTTATTGTAAAATCTTTTAAAATCTTTTCTTCCTATTTTTAAAATGCCATCATATTTCTCTTATTTATAGTCACTCTCCTATTAAATAGCATACCCGAATTTCTTGTTCCTGTCTAATCATAACTTAGTACCTGTTGGTCCAAATTTCCCCCGTTTTCCTTCACCTAGACTCTGATAACTAACAACCTCTGTGAAATCAACATTTAAATGCAAGATTATTATAGCAACAACAGTTTTAGATACTACATACTTGATAAGTATGCCAAGAAATATTCAAAAGATCTTTCATAGTTACACTGTTCAAAATTGTTAAACATCAAAAGTACAAATAATCATTAAGAATAAAATTGCTAAATTATGCTGTGCTTGTACATAGCAAATTTATTTATAAATTTATAAATTAATCAATAAATTTGCTAATTATGCTTTGTGTATATTGCAGTTAAGAATTAACACAAAATAAATTTAAACAAAATAACATAAAAATAAATTTCTGAGTCTTAAGAATAAAATGTGAAGCTAAAGAAGTCTACGAGTGTGAATCTATTAGTAAGAGGTTCAAACCCATCAAGAGAAATCCCTGATGTTGTAAGTTGGGAAAGATTATTCCTTTATGTTGGTACTGAATAGAAAAGATTATAATGGAAATGTCTGAGACGTTAACATTGTGTGATTCGGGGATACATCTTCTGATTAAAGACGGTTTTCTCTGTGAAAACTCCTCCAGTTCTGATCTTAAGACTTACCAACACTTTGTATGTTGTACAGTATCCATAATAGGGCTTGGTTCTGTTTTTTTGTTTTTGTTTTTGTTTTTAGGACCAAACAATATATATTATATGTTGCCTGTCCCCTAAAAGAATTCTGTACTAAACATGGCATGTTTTCTCCTGAGAACAGACGAGAAATTTGGCAAAACTCGGACATCGAATGCCTCTGTACAAATGTACAGCCTATTTTCTGATCAGTTCCAGAAATACTGAACAATTAAGCAGAATGTATACAGAATTCCCAAAAATTCTCTCACCCTCCCTCCTCCAGTTTCATCTATTATTAACATTATTTCCATACATTTGCCAAGTTGATAAGCCAATATTGATACATTATTAACATTTGTAGTTCATATTGTGTTGTACATCTCTGGGTGTGACTAGTGTATGATAACATACGTGCAGTACTAAAGTAGCATACAAAATAGTTTCATGGTTCTAAAATCATCCCTGCTTTGCCTATTTATCGTTTTTTTCTGCCTATCAAACTCCTGGTAACCATTAATAATTGTCCCCATTATACTATCTTTTTCAGATATTTTATCAGAATCGTGGTACATAGTATATGGCCTTTTCAGACAGACTTCTTTAGTGTAGCAAACAAGCATTTAGATTTCTTCCTTGACTCTTCATTTATGACTTTTCTTTTTAGTGCTGCATAATGTTCCATTTTCAATATATATCACTATTTATCCATTCACTGATGGAAAGCATTTAGAAAGGTTCAATTTCTGGCAATAATGCATAGCTGCAGGGCTGGTAGAGTGCTTGCTTCACATGTGTGAGGCACTGGGTTCAGTCCTCAGTACCATATAAAAACAAATAAGAGATATTTTGTCCATATGCAACTAAAAATAATAATAATAATAATAATAATAATAATCCATAGCTGCTATAAACATCCAAGCACAGATATTTGTATGAACATAAACCTTTAACCTCTCTGATTAACTATCAAGAATTGCAAAAGCAAAGGTTGCGAAGCAAAGGTTGGTTTGATTTTGTAAGGGACTTCGGCACTGTCTTCCAACGTGACTGAACTTGTTTGTATTTCCATCAACATTAAACAAGAGCTCATGTGGTTCTACATCCTTGCCAACT